CAAAGGCATTGTCAACATGTGCACTTTGATTTTAATAACCGTTCTTTCTGCATGGAAGACAAGAAGTATGGCCACCAATGTTTTCATCATCATTACAAGTTCCAGTTGATCTGGAGAAGAAAAAGGTTATGCTGTAGCAACTCAATGCAATGACGCAGATTTAATATACAGAATTCAGCACAAGAATTCTTTCAAGACGTTACCAAGGATAGTAGCATATGTTCTTAGATTCATTAACAACACAAGAATATCAAAGGAGTCACGTGCCATACATAACATATAGCACCTAGTGCTAACGAATTCGAAGCAGCATTAATCACTATAATATGTCACATTCAGGGTAATGATTTTCATGAAGAAATCAAACAACTGAAGAAACAAGGCCATATTGATAAATCTAGTTCAATCAGCAGTTTATCTCATAGATAATGCAAATGTTCTTAGAGCAGGAGGACGCTTAGAAGCCTCATCATTACCATACGATTCTAAACACCCAATGCTGATCCCATACAATGATCCATTGGCGAAATTATTATTCGTGATGGTCTACGAAGAAAACAAGCATTGTGGCCCGCAGGCACTATTGAGTATAGTATGGCAACGGTTTTGGCCGATTAAAGGTAAATCAACAGCCCGAGCAACGGTTCAGCGATGCATTCGATGCAACAAAGCACGTCCGCAACTATGCCAACAAATTATGGGGAATCTACCAGAATCAAGAATAACTCCTGCAAGACCCTTCATTAATGCTGGGGTAGACTATTGCGGACTATTTTGGATCTACTACAAGGTGAGGGGCAAAAAGCCAACAAAGGCATATATTGCTGTCTTTTGTTGTTTCGCCACAAAGGCGGTACATCCATGCGCCAAAAACCAGTTAGTAGAATTAGAGGAAAGCATTTATTCCAATGAAGGGCAAGAAGCAATAATCTCTGCTTGCAGTACTACAGGAATAAACTCTCATTTTGTTCCACCAAGGGCTTCACACTTTGGCGGTTTATGGGAAGCATCCGTGAAGTCCGCAAAATATTTGTTACTACGCAGCGTTTCAACAGCATCATTGACGTATGAAGAACTCGAAACAGTGGTGGTGGAAATTGAAGCGATATTAAATTCACGACCATTGACTCCAATGTCTAATGATCCAACTGATTTGATAGCATTAACTCCAGGACACTTATTAATTGGAGAAGCTCTTACAACTCATGTGGACAGCCGATCAAAACCAGAAAAACACACGTTATTGTCACGTTGGAACCTAGTTTCCCAGTTAAAAATGCCTGTATGCTCTAACTGCCTGTTAATACAGATGATCAACCAACAATGGCTGAAGCTGATCACGAAATGCCTCCTTACAACGTAATTATTGTAGATAAAAAAGAGTCGTATGAAGAACCCAAGACAAAACGTAAAAACTGCCGACCAACTTATACTGTTCTGTATTACTCACACTATTACTGATATTGCCAATAGTAATAGGGTCTCCAATTGATAATAAAAGGTTTGGATCGAAATTGGCTATTCACTTGGAAAATCTGGGCATAGCTGCCATATCAATTACTGAATGGAATCTATTAGTTTATTACGACTTAAGTCTTTATTGGATAGAAGCATCAGCTCTAAACACAGGAATAACGTCGCTACATCAAGCTTGTCAACAAATAAAACCAAACGCATCATGTGCGAGTACAATTAATCACTTTAAACATATTGAATCCGAACTGCAACTAGATGATAAATTACTTCATGATCATCGCTCCAGAAGAGGAGCAATTGATCTTGTAGGCAATATTGCACATTCGCTATTTGGAGTATTAGACTCAGAATATGCCAAAGGAATGTCAAATATAATTTCAGAAGTGAAACAAAATGAAATGCAATTATTGACGTTATTTAAGAATCAAACATCGGTTGTCGATTCAACAATCAACATAATGAAGAAAGATAAAATCGCAGTTCAAGAAGGTTTTGAGCACATTGACAATGAAATAAAGGCACTGATGAATTCCATAAAAGATACAAATAGAGAGGTTAATCAGGTACGGCTCAATCAAGTTTTCAATGCAGAAGCCATTCAACTAACACTGGTAGCACATAATCTACAGAAGATACAATCTGCCATTATAGATGCTCTAACTGATACTCATCATGGAAAAGTCAATCCATTGTTATTGACACCAACACAATTACAAAAGGAAGTCAATCAAATCAAACTTCATTTATCACCATCATTAAAATTACCGATGCCAGAAGATGAGCTAATATCCCTTTACAGACTAATGAAGGTTAAAGGTGGAATCACACAGCAGCATACAATTTTTAGTATAACATTACCCTTAATTGAACATGAACGATTTGAATTGTTTCAACTAATTCCAATCCCGAACTGGTTAAATGACTCTATGGCGGTAATTGACTCATGCAGTTCTATGTTGGCTATTAATACGCATCATGATCAATATTTTCCTCTTATGAAATCCGATTTAAGTCTTTGTGAGACCATAAAGGAAGGGGAATTTCTTTGTGCCAACGTCCGCATACGATACAATTTTGGTTCTGAAATATGTGCGTGTGAGATCAACCTATTCAACAACAACACAATATCAAACTGTCGGTTGAAATACACTATCAACACTCTGACCTGGATTCCATTGAATAACAAAAATCAATGGATTTATGCGACATCAACATCTTCACGAGCAACTGCATTATGTAATAAGAAAATCATACCACTAAATCTAAAAGGTTCAGGTTTATTACCGATCGACCCAGACTGCGTGCTTAAACACCACTTCGTTTCCGTGCAAGGACAACAAATAATTGCAAGCACGTCAAGATATTCATATAGTAGTCTTGGTAAAATCTCCGAATTAAGGCTACAATCCCCTATAAAGACATCAGATGCTTACATCTGACAACCAATACGATCAACAGCTGAAAGAGCTCACAGTATTGCAGAAGGTTTTGCAGTCGTACCAGATAAATGATCTTCCGAATCAATTTCAGTCACACAAGTACCACAGCTTCACCATAGTTTACGCAGCACTTGTTATAAGTCTGATATTAATCATAATCATGATGAAGAAGAAATTGCAGAAAAAACCTGTAAACCCAATTGAAGTTTCACCCGATGAAGAAGTCACCCGCACGACACCTATACCCATGCCACCTCGGCAGTCACGAGAATTCGTTATCAACATATAGTCGGACTGACTACCTGACAGCTAGAGGCTCATATTGTTGAACAACAACCGTTCAACAATATGAGCCTCTACGCGAAGGAGAATGTTAAATATTATATTATATTATTATGTATAAATAATTTGTTTGTATTATTTTGTATGAATAATTTGTTGTAATAATTTCATTTCAAATATATTTTGTTGTAAAAAATAATTTTGTGTTATGCAATGCCCAAAAGCACGTCATACGCTTTGTTTGCTCATGAAAACAAAAGCGTCAAATTTCGTCTGCAAGAAACTGCACTCTTGCAGTTTGTAACAGGTTCATTGTTTGGCATGCATGGTCAAGGTTATTTTAGTTAATTTATTTGTTGTACATTGATTATTAATTTTAAATAAAAGGCACAATTCAATTTTTGACAATTCAATTGATGCGAAGCCACATTCGTTATTGATTCATTTCTTTAGCTTTGTAAATTTAGTTCAAGTGCTAAATTTACGTCACATAAGCGCCTATTCACTGGATTTAAGTGTTCAGTGACTAGGATAATTAGGACAATCGTCGAAATCTCTGGGTTCAAGTACTCAGTGGTTTTCTTGTTTAAATAGAATCAACATAAGTACTGGATTCAAGTGTTCAGTGCTTGCAAATAGTTGATTCCAACGTTGATCACACATTTTGGTTTGATCGTA